GCGCACTTCATTTTAGGCTTCACAAAATCAGGAGAGTTGCGCTACTGTATATACTGTGGTTACACTGTGTTTCGTAACTGGAAAGCACCCGCGACATGGAAGTTGCTAGCTTCTAGAGTCCTAGATATCAGAGAAGCGCAACCGATGTTCCGCGTTCTGATTAGCTGACTGTCAGCCAATCATGACATTCATTCAGTGGTATTAAAAATGGCTGACTAATAGACGATTGGTGGATTTCATATTTCGTCTGCAAACGACGCCATTTTTAATACTTTTCTTAGTAATTTTGCGATACTGACTTAAACCGGTTGCGCTTCTCTGATATCTAGGACTCTAGTATCTTCTTAGCACAGAAAGAGGTTAGGTTAGACTCGCTTCATGTGAATGCAGTAGGTTCCGCCCCCCCCCCCTACGGGGAAGCTCCACTATTGTTAAAAATAACCTAACCTAACCCATTTAGTGGTGTGAGCAAGAAGACTAGAACCAGGAGAGTAAACTAGTGTGGTGGGGGTAGGTCAAAAAACGTTCGCGGTTATTCATTCAATGCGCAGTGGCATTGCACATTGAATGAAAGTTTGCGCATGCGCACGTCGGTTATAACCAAGAAGTCTTGTTCTTAACCTTTGCGTTATCAAGAAGTCTTCTTGGCGTTATATAGCCCAAAAAGGTTTGGGCTAGAGACGCTTTATTTTCCCCTCATCCGAGGGACACACTTAAAAAAGAAAAAAATCTTAAACCATCTTAAACAGAATGTAAGTTGTAAAAAGAAATTATACTGTATATTAAATAACTTGTTTATAAGTAAATTCTGTATTGTATACAAATTTTGGAGTATGATTACAGTAATTTTTTTTATTTACAGAATATTATTAATATTTCCGTCGTCGTTGGAATAACATATATTGAAATATGTATGATTTTTAGTCTTCTTGAGTCCAAAATTCAATTAAACAGAAACAAGGTTTGTTTGACATGCGCAGTCACGAATTGAAAACGACTATCAGAGCGACAGAGAGAACTAATGAAGCGCAAGAGTGGGGGAAGTTATCCGCCGTCACTTTTTGGCCTACCCCCACTACCGATATTACACTACCGATATTTGACCGAGTTTACTCTCCTGGTTCTAGTCTTCTTGGGTGTGAGGTAGCTCTCGTTTCGCGTGGAAAGTCGAAATCCACGTGCAACAGTATAATTACAGAAGTCGTATGTATACATCATAGAGATAGTAGTACTAGAATGCGCATTGTGGAAAATTTGAGGAGTGGGGGTAATTTTATCTAGAAAAGGACGCACTCATTTGGAACCGTTTCGTTCTCTCTCGTTTCGCGCATGCGTATAGCCGCATACTTTGAGAGAGGGGATTGAAAGAAAGAATAAGGAATTAAAAGAGCAACCCTTGGCACTGGGAAACCCTTAACCTTATCAAAGTCAATTCTTTGTTTGATTCCAAAGAGATCAGGCTTGTTCGGTCATTCTTGGAAAGCCAAAAGTTTCTTTCCGCGAGACTTAACTAAACCATGTGAATTTGACTATCTTTATAAGAAACAATCTGGTGGTGCTGGCCAATATGCTCGCATAACTGGAATTATAGAGGTATAAGTAATAGATTTTTATCATTAATATTTATTGATATTATTCATCGAGAGCCCTTAACCTTATCAAACGCAATTCTTTGTTTGATTCTAAAGTGATCAGGCTCAATCAGACTTGTCCGGTCATGTAATGATGAAACTTTTCTCGGTCGACTCGTTCTTTCTTTCGATCCCCTCTCTCAGAGTATATGGCTATACGCATGCGCGAAACGAGAGAGAACGAAAAGGCCTAAATTAGAGATCCTATAATAAGAGTTTGGCCAAAGCGGACCAAAGATGGCTGATAGAAGGAGATAACAGATATTGTTTTCTTTCTCGTATTACGCTATCTGTCTCTTTCTATTCATCGAACTCGTTTTCCGACAATGTACAAAGCTATCCGAAGAATACCGAATGGACCTAGGTAGAGAACCAATCAGAAGTTGTACCCGCTTTGGCCAAACTCTTATTATAGGATCTCTAGCCTAAATGAGTGCGTCCTTTTCTAGATAGGATTACCCCATAGAGATAGTGTTTTCCAGCTAGGACACAGAAACGTTACACTGTGCTCCACTGTGTAAAGACTTGTTGGAACGATAGAGCTCTAATTGGTAACACTGGCATACTCTACACGTTTGTACTTAGCTTTTCACAGTGTCAAGCAGTGTAAAGGTTGGATTATACTGGCCGTAATCTGTTAACTTATGCTGTAATCTATAAAAATTGACCAATTATAATCGATTATTCCCCTCTCATTCGACTGTGATTGGTCAATTTTTACAGATTACGGCATAAGTTAATAGTTTACGGCCAGTATAAATCAACCTTAACACTGTGTCACAGTTGGAACACTTTGTATGAGACACAGTGTTACACTAGGTGCATCCAGAAGCACGCCCGCTCATTGAGCGCTCAGTGAGCTCTTGTACCTGTTTGGTTTACATATTTAGATCTAATAGAATATGCCAATCAGATAAAAACGCTCATTGAGCGCTCAGTGAGCTCTTGTACCTGTTTGGTTTACATATTTAGATCTAATAGAATATGCCAATCAGATAAAAACGCTCATTGAGCGCTCAGTGAGCTCTTGTACCTGTTTGGTTTACATATTTAGATCTAATAGAATATGCCAATCAGATAAAAAAGCTCATTGAGCGCTTAGTGAGCGGTCGTGCTTCTGGATGCACCCACTGTGTCATCTGTGTACACTGTTGGAAAACACCCAGTACTAGACTACGCATTGTAGGAGTGGGGGTAATCCTATCTAGAAAAGGACGCACTCATTTGGGCCTTTTCGTTCTCTCTCGTTTCGCGCATGCGTATAGCCATATACTCTGAAAGAGGGGATCGAAAGAAAGAACGAGTCGAACGAGAAAAGTTTCATCATTACATAACCGGACAAGACTAATTTGGGCCTTTTCGTTCTCTCTCGTTTTGCGCATGCGTATAGCCATATACTCTGAGAAAGGGGATCGAAAGAAAGAACGAGTCGAACGAGAAAAGTTTCATCATTACATGACTGGACAAGCCTGATTGAGCCTGATCACTTTGGAATCAAATAAAGAATTAAGTTTGATAAGGTTAAGGGCTCTCGATGAATAATATCAATAAATATTAATGATAAAAATCTATTACTTATACCTCTATAATTCCAGTTATGCGAGCATATTAACCAGCACCACCAGATTGTTTCTTATAAAGATAGTCAAATTTACATGGTTTAAGCGGGGAGCACAAACTTTTGCATAACGCATAAAGCATATGCATAAGGAATTTCATTGGCCCATTTTCTTATGCATGAATTCAAATTCACATGGTTTAGTTAAGTCTCGTGGAAAGAAACTTTTGGCTTTCCAAGAATGACCGGACAAGCCTGGTCTCTTTGGAATCAAACAAAGAATTGACTTTGATAAGGTTAAGGGTTTTCCAGTCCCCCCAAGGGTTGCTCTTTCAATTCCTTATTCTTTCTTTCAATCCCCTCTCTCAGAGTATACGACTATACGCATGCGCGAAACGAGAGAGAACAAAACGGTTCCAAATGAGTGCGTCCTTTTCTAGATAGAATTACCCCCACTCCTCAAATTTCCGACAATGCGTACTCTAGTACTACTATCTCTATGGATTATACTGTGGTTATACTGTGGTATCGTCTTATCCTCGTTTAACATGGGTGAACAACAAGGATAAGATGATACACGGAGGTATGTACTCGGGTGATATTTCCGAACGCAGCCATGAAGAGATTTCTCGTGTCTCGAATACTTGTGAGAATTGGCGCGAGTCCCGTTGGACCTCTGGTGGCGGTCGCCACAGTAAAAAACACAAGGTCGCCATCTGATGGCGGCGCGAGTCATTATTGTCGTCAGTGATTCACAAAGTCGCATGAGGTCGCAAGTCGTAAAGTGGATGTCAAGTGAGCTCTTAAATTACTAACGGCGTCTTGCAATTATGCTGTAATTACGTGCGCGTGCTCGACTGTCCGATAACGACGATAACGTTGTCCGATTCATATCCCCGGAAACGCAAGGATCATCATAAGCGTATTGAACGCGGTACGAAAGCTCTCGACGAGCATTATCGAAATCGTCAGTACTCTGCAGCAAAATGGCAGCGAGTGATTCTAACACAGACGACAGCCTGTATCCCATCGCAGTTCTGATCGACGAGTTAAAAAATGAGGATGTCCAGGTAATCACCTTGATAATAATTGTGACGAATTAGCTTTGCACTTTTTCCTACAAATTCTTTTTTTGTTATGAAGTATTGCTAGAGAGAATACGATACTTCAAACAGAAGCTGAGTTTTAATTTTATAAAACGCGTGATCTGTAGACAATAATAGGTCTATTTTTTTTTTAACGACGTTTTAACCTATACTCTCTTTAGTGCAATAATTTGGATTAAAACATTAATTTTTTTCGAAAAAATAGATCTAGTATAAATCACAAGTGTTAGAACTTGATTGTGGAAAACAAATCCAGTTGGAGCAAAAATTTCATGCATTTAGCATAATGGAGCAATAACTTCCATTGTTGCTTTTTTCATCGTTGATGTGCATTATAGAGACTATTATTGCTTTGTTTTCATTACAGTTACGTCTGAATTCTATCAAGAAACTATCAACAATCGCACTGGCACTAGGCGTTGAACGGACACGGAGCGAATTAATACCATTTTTAACAGAAACAATCTATGATGAAGATGAAGTTCTCCTTGCGTTGGCCGAACAGCTTGGCACGTTTACTCCTCTTGTTGGTGGACCAGAATTTGTGCATTGTCTATTGGTATGTGTGTAATAACATATCTATTTTAGATAATATTTAACACAGATCTAAAGGTAGTATTTTTAATCTTCTATTTATGAATATCTCAAGTGTTATAAGATTACTACTTACAAATCAACTTTCAGAGATATGAAATTATATCCCTGATTTTCATGGAACTTTTTTGGAATTTTAAATTCAAATTTAAACTCTTTCTGAAAACATAGTTTCTTTAGGATACAATCCACTTATCATTACAAATGCTATAAAGCATCCTTTTATTGGTCAATTCATAAAATTTTTTCTTATGATTGGTCAATAAAGCATCTATAGTATTAAGGCTTGCATCCTTAATCATTTTTTTTTAATATTGTAAAATGTTAATCAATTAGCATTCAGTACAGTATATACATTCATATATATTCATGTATTTTTGTGTTTTGCAAGTTTTTGTTTAAAAGATGACAGTAGAACATAATATTCGTCAGAATAGAATAGTTGATACCATTTTGTATGGTGAGCTTTTCCTATACTATCCCATTTCATATAGCTCCAATTGTAGAAAATAATAAATGTAGTCTAATGGAAATCCTGTTTTCTGCTAGTTTGTTTGCGTTGCCTGCACTCTGCACTCCAATTTAATTCACAAATTGTATTAAAAAATTCTTTAATCTTATTTGAAGCTTTGAAGAAAAACCTAAAAAATTCGAGAATTTTCAGAGAATCTCTTTACAAAGTTTCAATATACATTCTGCACATGTTATTCTAAAACACTTAAAACCATCTTAAATGTAAGATCGAACTATAAATATCACTCTGTTTCAATAACTTTATTGTATTGAAGAAATAAGTATTGTAAATTTCCAATATAGCCACCATTGGAATCTTTGGCTACCGTGGAAGAAACTGTGGTTCGTGACAAAGCTGTAGAATCTTTAAGAAATATCGCAAGTCAACACAGCCCTGCAGACTTAGAGGAACACTTTGTTCCATTGGTACAACGCTTGGCTTCAGGAGATTGGTTCACGTCAAGAACATCGGCATGTGGCTTGTTCAGCGTTTGCTATCCAAGAGTGAGCCCAGCCATTAAAGGTTATATAATAACCTTATACTTTTTGCAAATACTTTTTAAATGTTTTAATATAAAATTATAAACTTGACACTTTGCTAACTTGAATGTTACAGCGGAATTGCGAAATCACTTCCGCAGCTTGTGCCAAGACGATACTCCTATGGCACGACGATCAGCTGCTTCCAAATTAGGTGAATTTGCAAAAGTTGTGGAAATTGAATACCTTAAATCTGATTTAATACCCATGTTTGTTATACTCGCCCAGGACGAACAAGTAAGTACATCAAAATTATATATATCAAAACTTTATAAGTCTATCTATTAAACCAGATTATTGTAAAATAACTCATAATTTTATAGGATTCAGTTCGTCTTTTAGCCGTTGAAGCTTGTGTCAGTATTGCAGCATTATTACAACAAGAGGATGTTGAACAGTTGGTTATGCCTACGCTTCGACAGTGCGCTAGTGATCAATCATGGCGCGTTCGTTATATGGTAGCAGATAAGTTTACAGATGTATGTATAATTATTTATTAAGACTTAAGTATAATGAGCTACATATTTTAAGAAAATTTTATTGTATTAAAAATACTATTTAAATTTCTTTCTGCAGCTCCAAAAGGCTGTTGGTCCCGAAATAACGAAAACAGATCTTGTGCCAGCATTTCAAGTATTATTGAAAGATATCGAAGCAGAGGTGCGGGCAGCGGCTGCCGATAAAGTTCGCGATTTCTGTCAGAATATTGATCAAGTTAATCAGGAATTTATAATAATGACAAATATATTGCCTATTGTTAAAGAACTTGTAGCAGATCCTAATCAACATGTAAAATCAGCTTTGGCAAGCGTAATTATGGGACTAAGTCCCATACTCGGCAAGCACAAGTAAAAACAAATAATTTTAATGTAATATTGTGAAGCATGACAATCAATTGATAATTGTTTAACATTTTTACAGCACAATCGAACATTTATTACCGCTATTTCTATCCCAACTCAGAGATGAATGTCCTGAAGTGCGACTCAATATCATTAGTAATCTAGAATGTGTTAATGAAGTTATTGGCATACAACAGCTCTCACAATCTCTTCTACCTGCCATCGTGGAATTAGCCGAAGATTCTAAATGGCGTGTGCGACTAGCTATTATCGAGTAATTATACTTGTTTTTATTTAAATTTTGAGATTAAAAAGATGCACTTGTACTCATGAGCTTAAATTTCAGGTACATGCCATTGTTGGCCGGACAACTTGGCGTAGAATTCTTTGACGAGAAATTAAATTCTCTGTGCATGACTTGGTTGGTGGATCATGTGTATGCAATTCGGGAAGCAGCTACGTTAAATCTGAAGAAACTTGTAGAGAAATTTGGGCCCGATTGGGCACAGAATACAGTGATACCTAAAGTTTTGGCTATGTCCAGGGATCAAAATTATCTTCATAGAATGACATGCTTATTCTGCATCAATGTAAGCTGCATCATCATACTGTGACTTTAAAATGACAATAATAACAATAATATATATTCTAATATGTGAATCTATATAATTTGTATACTAGGTTTTGGCTGAAGTATGTGGTCCAGAAATAACGACAAAAGTAATGCTCCCAACTGTATTAACAATGGCTACTGATAATGTTGCAAATGTAAGATTTAATGTTGCTAAGACTCTACAGCGAATTGGACCTTTTCTCGAACCCTCAGCAGTCCAAACTCAAGTAAAACCTATCCTCGATAAACTTAATACTGATAGTGACGTAGATGTGAAATACTTTGCTTCAGAAGCAATTGCTGGAATCGCAGGTAACCATATCGCTATATTATATTATAGAAAAAATATATTTTATATATTTTTTATTAAAATATAATAAAGTTAAAGAATATGTAAATCGATATGTCTGAATATATGCATGCATGTTTCTAACTTATTATAAAAAAAAATCGGTAAAAATTTACTTTAGAATATGCTATTTTCTTTGATTTTTTAATTATATTTAGCCTTAATATATTATGATAATGTTTCAGCGTAGGTTGAACGACACAGTGCATTTATCACTTATTCAATAATATTCAACTTAAATTTGAAGAAGAGAGGATGCCACAATATTTCACTTACAAGTACATGGCAACAGGTAATATTATGCACAGTCAAAGCAAACTTTAATGAGGAGATAATTCTATAATTAGTAGATTATATTAAACTGTATTTTAAATTATGTTGTATTTGTATATCTATAATTACGGTAACGAGTACAATATTTGATTTAATTAGTAACATGTATTTCTCATACATATTTAAGTAATTGTCTTAAAAAATATAACGATAATAAAAAAAATATCTCTGAATCATTTCTACAAATAAAATACCCAGTTACATGTCCGCTTTTCCAAGAATTCTAATAATCTTAGATCTTAATAATTAATACATATTTTAATCATTTAAGCATTTAGTGTATTATATGTTATTTATTCAAAGAAACGAGAATCAATTTTGTGTTATAATTTATTTTATTATATAGCCGTTAATATATGAACATCTTACATTACATATTATCACAGCTTATTTCTATTGTTTTTTAATACGTTTTTATTACGATATATATTTGTAAAACTTAATACTCATAAACATATTGATATTATGAAGACATTTATCATTTAGCATAAGAATTTTTAAGTTTTATTCACATAATAAGAAACTAAAATTAATTATTTACATTTGTTAAATTAAAGAAAATAATGTTGTTCTTTCCACGAAATTAAAATAAAACTACTTTTCAATTATATGAAAATAATAAAAGAATATAATTTTTAACCAAAGATACAATAAGTAAATTTTAACACATAACAGCATATGTACTAACATAAATTTTACTCGTTTATTTATTGCATTAACTATTGTTATATAGTTTTCTGTTTTAAATGTGGAAAAAAATGTAGCTATAACATATGACATTATATGAACATATCCATTATACTTTTTGAGCTTTTCAAAATTTTACTTTACGACACAGTTTACTGTCAGATACAATTAAGATCGATTCTTGCTCACTAAATTCTACGTAATATGTATGAAATTTTTAATTAATGCAATACTTTCTACAATTGGATAGTTGTTAAGATTAAAGAAACTATCCTACAATACATAATAACTTCAGAATTATACTAGATATAACGTGTTATTGCATAATATATAATGTATATATTATTATTTTTATACAAAACATCATAAAGGAAATAATCCTTACGACACTCAAAACTTTATATATATATATATATATATATATATATATATATATATATATATAATCTCTCTATGTACTTTTAACAGTCAAATTATTAATGTAATTGTTTATGATATGATTTATACAATGTTACCGTAGCTATTGCGTTTCAACTAGTTTTCTTAATCATATGTCTTAATACATCATTAATACAACATAAGTGCTTCAATATTATATTATTTCATTTTAATACAATCTATAACAAATTTTCTTTCATGAATTATTATCGAGAAAAATCGAGATGTTACAGATGAAGATTTACTTAGTATAATATACTTTTTGATATCGAAAATAATAAAAATATAAAGCAATCATTAAAGCAATTTATGAAAAATATAATATACCACACAATCTTTTTCTTATTAATATTCAATTATTAAAGAATCTGTATCTTCTACATATCTTAATAATCTATATATATGTGACTATATGTTATATTCTTATATATAACATTCCTTTTAAATATTCAATATACTTGCTAGTAAATAATTAAATTAACGTAATTATAAATACTAATTGGTAAATTGCACCAATGAAGTTATATCTACACTCATACCTATGTTTAAAAAAAACTGTATTATCTCTTTAAATAGTTTATGCTTATACTATTGATATATTTTTTATAAGTTCTCACAGCAATTTTGAAATACTTAATATTTAAATTTTTCCTGTTTATATACGAATATGAAATACAATGTATTATTAATGCAGTATTTTCAATAGAACAAAGTAACTAAAGTTTTAATATACCTCGTCCGTTTTGTTATACCTTATAAATACATAAATTATGTATATTACACACGATATAACGAAATCATGAATATATGAATGTCATACAATGAAATAATTAGGAGAAGTAAAATCTATATATGGAAGTTTGGCAACTGTTCTAAATCTATCGTGAAAATGTAAATACAGTATATCTTTTCCCAGTTTTTCGTTCACGCTCTATAAAGTAACTTTGTTATTTTATAAGAAGCATATAAAAACTCTGACAAAAGAAGACTCAGAAGTTATCCTCACAAATTTTACTGAAAGATTTTTATGAAATCTTAGGCTGAAAGTTTTGATGAAAACAAAACATGAATTTTTAAGGATCCTGAACTCAAGTATAAACTCTAATAAATTATCACTACTGAATTTAATATTGAAATATTTCGGAAATAATCACCATTACATCTAATGCCCAAATAAAGATATGATTATATTCAGGGGAACTTTCAATGAAATCGATAAAGACTACTTTTGAGCCTTTTCTTGTGAGTGGAAACATACTGTATCTCCATCATCGTTGTTTTGTACATTATTATTTATATATACAGTCGAAAAGCGTATATATCCGCGCTATTCTATGTTTCTATTTTAAATCTTTCTTCTTCAAGTAAAAAGATACTTGTGTTCATTAGAACTCGTTACACACGATACAGTTTTTCACCATACCGATAATTTCATTGAATCGGTGCAAATCAGTCGGAATTTGATGCCGAACATGCGGTAATTTTGCCATTACGTCCAATCAATTTTCCTTCCACTATTCTATCAACTTTATCGCAAATACCTGTGAATACGTTTATTATTTATTGGGACTCTCGCGAGCCTCATAAAACAATTAATAGAAAATATTGGACACATACAATTGTGAAATTTCGTTTGAGGTTGTATCGAATACTTAAGTGCTAACTGATAAGAGATAAATTAAAACTTCAATATTTTCGAATGTCAATATCTATATCTCCGTATAGATTTATTATATTCTTATCTTTATAAATGTCCAACGTTTTGTGTCTATTATCCTATCCCATCTCATAGACCTTTCTTCTATAAAATTTATTGAAGTTCTGTATTTATCTTTCATTGCGTATAGCAATACATACATACAAAAAAAAATGGAAGTACGCGTTATTTGTAACGCCGTTTCTTTTTATCATTACTTTGTTATAACGATTTAGTAATGACAAATTTGCAAATTTTGTATTGCAATTATTAAGTGCGCAAAAAAGATCTAAGCTTTTTTTTTTGCAAAATTCAATTTTTATTTAAGAACGAACAAAAACATATTAATCAGGGAAATATTCCCAGTTTGCATTAACGACCTTTTTGTCATCTTTCGGACAGTTTGCGGATTCCTTGTTGATAAAGGCTTACCGGCTTCGAGGCGATAAAGTCAATGCATTTTCAAAGGACCCCACACGTTTCTTATGGGAAAGTACTTTCGGTCAAAATGGCTGAAAATTTAGTATGTTGTCAACATAATGTTGTAGTTTATGGTGTCCTGATGAAAAGTCTCAATAGATATGGGGTCCTAAATAGGAGATATTAGAGGCTCTAATATCTCAGAATCTGTTGATTTTAGGACCACGTGCCCATTGAGACTTTTCATCAGGACACTATAAACTACAACATACTAAATTTTCAGCCATTTTGACCGAAAATACTTTCCCATAAGAAACGTGCGGGGTCCTTTCTGTTATCCGTTTTAATTTTTTGAGTATCCAGTATATGGTTTTCAACTTCAAGACTAAAATCTCCTTGGCGAGATTTTAGTCTTGAAGATATTATTTTTGATACTATTTTACTTTTTGATACTATTTTAAGCATGACTTACAGCGTTCTCTCCATATACAGCACAAATCATTCCAGAGGCTTCAGTAACACTTTTTTTCAGATGAAACGCGAAATGGATGGAAAATCGAGTATACTCTTTTGTTATTATCATCATGAACACTACTGATTTTTAAGATTATGTGCATTAAACGCCAAACCGCATAACATTTTAAAAGGTCAAATGTCAACACTTTAAAACTGCATAATGGCGGGAAAATAAATAAAATTTAAATTGTGGTTTTGGTTGTATGAAATCTAAAGCTCAGAACTTTTTTGCGTACCTACGATAACATCAGAGTTGAAAAAATCAATCGTTATTTATAATGAATTGAAAAAGTTACTATTACTGAAAAAAGTAACTCGTTATTTGAATAAAATAACGTGTCGATGCTTTACAAAGATTACATTAATTTTTTTTTTCAGTATATAACAATAATGATAAGTTACTTTTCAAAGTAACTTTCTCTTCTTTTCAGACGGCACCTGTAATTATGTCGGCTGTGATAATGGTACCAATCATGTAATTTTTTTCTATAGGACGGAAACATGAAAAGTGTTTGTATGTTTATGTGTGAAACATGAAAAGTGTTTGTATGAAAATTGTTTGTATGTTATGTGTATATATTATGTACATAAAATATAAAATTTTTACTTTTTCGTTTCACATTTCTGCTCTAGAAAAAAAATTACATAATCAATACCCTGGCCATAAACTAGTCTTCTTCTTCTGTAATTGTCCTATTTGGATTTTCGACTCGATATAAAAGAGTCACAGTACCAGAAAAATTGGATCCAAAGATCCTATGATAGCCTTCTCGGAGAGCAAAAGTCTTCACCTAGAATATTTCCAATAGTTATAAAATACAATTCCCAGATCAATACCACGGCTTCGCACATAAACCAATTCATAAGTCAGTTTTAAAGAGTATTTTGCCATAAATGGGAGAGGGAGACGCTCGTGTAAGAATAAAGAGCGGAACAATGCTAAACGATCACATTTTTATACAGGTAGGTTAATAAATTTAAAATAAGAAAGCAGAAATCTGTATAATTTAAGGGAAGGATTAAATAGAAGATAAAATTACACTAAAGTTAGGAAAATATAAAATAACTTTCCCAACTTTAGTACAATCTTAGCGTTTAGTTACTTATCGCTACAGTTATAAAAGAATTGCAATGTCATTATTATAAATCGTTCACCATAATAAAACGATCAAATTGTTATTATAAATAAAAAGTAATAGCGCACATTGGTTCGAAACAGTTTGTTCGGGCAAATAAAAAGTAAAGTTGACTAATTTTAAAAACAGCGCG